GTCGAGGGAAAAAAAAGGGGGAGACCAAAGTTGTTAAGCAAGGGGAGCCAAAGTTGTTAAGCAAAAGTTGCACCACTCCCTCCAGTTTGGGACCACACACTAACTACCAATGCATCCACCCCACCCCCTGGGCCAGGCCCCCTAGTCTCCCCATCCCAATGCACTCACAACCACCTCATGTCCGGTATTTCCTGTTTTTTTTTTACTGGATGGCGCCCGCAAATACTGGACTGTCTGGGTGAAAACCGGACACCTGGCAATCCTACAGACTACTGCCACCTCCACCCCTCACCTTCCGTTCTAGCAGGAAAGTGATGGTGGTGAGCAGGTCCAGCCCACAACATTTTGGCACCTGAGGCAGGGAGCTCAAATGATGTCCCCATGTCCCCTCGATTGGGCCAAAACTTTGAAAGGTCTCAATTCTTCCTTCTTCCTGTTCTATTCCTCTCATGGTACTGCAGAGAGAATACATATGCGCCAGCAGCAGACACAATTTTCTACACAATTTTCTGTGTCCTAGTGGCACCCCCCCACAGTCTGGCACCTGAGTCGGCTGCCTCAGTTCCCCTCATGGTAAGGCCAGCCCTGGTGGTGAGGGCTGTTGCACGGCTCTGCAAATGAGGTGGGCGGGCCTAAAATTTCTAGTGTGCGACCGTGCAGGCACGAAGCTTAGAGGGAACCCTGGATGGGACAGTGGGTCAGCTGAACCATCAGGAAGTAACAGGAGCAATGAAAGAAGATAGAGATGTTGTTGAGAAGCTAAATGATTGCTTTGCATTCAACTACACCACACAAGATGCTGGGACAATAGCTACCTCAAACCTCTTTTTAAAACATATTAAAGAGGCAAAAATGTCAAAAAAGGAGGAGCTGGAACAAATTCCTAACAGCAAAAAGTCCTAAGACTTCTGCGGAAAGACAAAGATAAAGTGGCTGAGCTGCTAACTAAAATATTGAATCTCTCCTTAAAAGCAGTTACTATGTCAGAGGGCTGGAAGGCAGCATATGTTGCACCTCAAAAAGGGGGGTTAAGGGCGATCCTGGGAATTACAGGTCAGTGAATCTTACTTCAGTTTGGTGTTTTTCTTCACTGGTATAGATATATTTGGACCAAGGAATTACGAAGCATATTAACCAAGGAATATTGCGACAGGATGCCATTCAGGTTGTCACCAAAAGCTTAGGTGATGCGTAGGAATACCATGGATGGACACATACTGAACGTTCAGCCATACTGTCTTACAGATCGAAGTAGAGATCGATCTGTGGTGTGCTCAATCTGCAAGGAAGGTACTTCCTTTTGGGATCTGTCTTTCTGGTGCTGATGACAAAGGAACTAGCTTGCAGTCATAATTAAATACAGTTATCCTGCCCTAGGCTGAAGAAAGCTGCAAGCAAGTTGGAGGCAAGCCGGAATGTGTCATGGTTATGCAGACTTGAGGCAAGGCTGCTGGAGATTTGGAGGAAGCTGTGTGGAACCACACACGTTTTACTGTACAAAGAACTCCACAGTAGGAGGGCTAGCCCTGCAGACTCCTCACAGCTTCCCTACCTTCCACCACATTTTCCACTTAAAAGCTCCGTTTTGCACTGAAGTTTCCTGGGATGCAAGAGAAGACACGTCAGCTTGTCTCTCAGCTTCCAACCTCCCAGTTCCGATGCACCCTCCAAAGTCAGGGGAGAAACCCTCCCTGCAGAAGCTAAACCTGGGTTAACAAATCACCAACCAACAAGATTACACAGCCACGTGGAGAGAAAAAGGAGGAAGGTTCCCTGTGTGTGCACTTCTGCTCCTGGTAAAGCTTTGCAGGGAGAAAAGTAACAGAACTTTGATTCAAATGATGAAAAAGAAAAGCTCTTTTCCTACCTCTCTGAGAAAGAGATATTGGCACCCAGAGTGAAACAACCCCAAAAAGGAAACCAGGAAGGGAAGAATAGTTTATCTAGAGTCCAATTTCCCTGTTAGTGTCAGCTGCAATTCAGAAGCCTATGTTCACAGCTTGCATTTATTCTTCCCAAACCATAATGTTCAAAGAAACAGGAAGAGCTCAGTATGTGCGCATGTACGCCTATTTGACCAGTGCTCAGGCAACAGGCATCTCTGAGGAATGTCGCCTCTCAAAGCAGCTATGATTAAATCCATTATCATTTCCCTTCGCCCTTCCTCTTCTCTCTTTGTGCAAGGCCACTGCTAATGGCTAATGACAAGATATTCATCAGAAGCATGATTACTCTTAATTAAACTTTGCCCCATGTTCCCAGAGACACTGATGGGAGCAGAGGCGACGGAAACCCCCTCTGGGAAAGAAAGTAGATCTGACTAACACTCAAATAATAATGCTTGAGGATTCTACAATGTGCTGTCTCAGCACAATGGTATATCTGGCTCAAAGACAGCCTACCTCTAATGGGGAACACTTTCTCACCCTGCGTAGAAAATTCTAATCCAGTATATGAACCAGCAAGTGAAAATGTTTTGGGAGTACAGGACTGGGAAATGGGAAGACATATTTAGGGCATAATTTTCAATTCATGGGAGGTAACAATTCAGTTACCTCAACTACTACTGTTCAACAGAAAAAGTATCTAGAGGGTATGTCTACACTGCATGGCTGTTTCGAAAGAAGCTATTCCAGAAAAAGCTTATTTCGAAATATCACGTCTACACTGCAGGGAAGCCTCAAAATTAATCTGAGGCAGGCTTCCCTAATGTAGATGTGCTATCTCGATTTAGAGCCCCAGGAGGCACTGAGGAGGAATAACTTAGAATGGCCCTGGTGAGGGGCTATTTTGAAATAGCAGCAGTGGTGTATCTACACATGTCTTATGTCAAAATAGCTATTTCAGAATAGGCGTTATTCCTCGTAGAATGAGGTTTACAGATTTCGGAATAAGCCGTCCGTTATTTCGAAATTATCTCGAAATAACAGTGAGCATAGATGCACCTTCTGTGACATAGGGGAGCCCTGTCCCTGTATTGCAAAACCACTTATCCAAGTCAAAAATCAATGAGTCGCTGTCGGAACACAGGAGGGGACACACACACACATACACACAGACACAAAACGTATGTGATAGTGATATACATGTGATTAAATAGATAAATTACAGAGGCATGTGATAAACTACATTCCAAACTCCCTGCAGCTTCAAGCAGGTCACATTGTTAAAAATCAGCCTGCCAGGTAAGTGTTTTATAGTTTCCTCCATATATGAGATTTCTTGGGAAAAACTGCACAGATTTGAGGCCTAAAACATGAGTCTTAGAGCAGTGACAGATTTAAGGTTCAATATTTCATCAAACAGCAGAACAGGGAGAGTCCACGCATTTCAATAGGATAGGCAGCATATGCTTCTAGCCCTGAAGGTCAAGAAATACTAGACCTAAAAACACAACATCACTATGTATAAAAATGTTATTTTCAGGTCCTTTACTTAAAATGTTATAGATGCATAGTTTTGATTTTCTTTGAGTCATGCATAGTGAGTTGATAGCACTTAGGGAACGCAACTTTTAGCTACAAGGCTGTGTCGACACAGTGCTAAAAGTCGACATGTTTGAATCCTGTTTGTTGGTACATTTGCCAATAAAACACTTCCTCCTATAAAGCCCCACTCACACGTGCATGTGCTGCAGCAAAACTTTTGTCATTCAGGCTTAAACACCTGTGAAGGACAAACATTTTCTCAATCAAGTGCAAGTGTATCCATAGCCTTAGACCATAAGCTCTTTGGAGCTGGGAATGTCTTTTTATTCTGTGTTTGTACAGATGCAGCATAGTGTGGTCTGGCCTATGTGGCTTCCCAATGCAAATAATAAGTAACAATAGTACTACTGGTGCACTACAGTGGTATAGGAGTACTTGGCTACGTAGACAAAGGGATTCAGTGTATAAGCCCAATAAACATATTTGAAAATTGTTCTAAAATATTTAAAATACACTCAATAATAAGCTGTGTGGTGTAGTTAGTGGAGTGGGACTTATTTGGCATGGCCAATGTAACTAAAATGTGGTCAGCTGCATTTCAGACTGATTAAACTTTTCTAATTCACCACCATCTCTCCTTCACATATATATCTCTGAGTATCGTGTATATGTACATGTATGCCTAAATCTATGGTACTTGCCAATTTTCCCCTGTGCTCTTTTTCATTGAAATCTGATGAACACACTGACAAATCCAAATACAAGAAAAATAAAGCGCGTCAACATTTTTCACATTTTTTTTTGAAAAACATTTTCACCAAAATGTTGAATTTCAAAATTAATAAAAAAAAGAGAGAGAAAATTAGAATGCCATTTTGTGGATTTTTCTCCAAATGTTTTGAAATATTTCTAGTTTTAAAACTGTCTCAAAAATATTCCTTGACATTTTTGAAATATGGAGAAAACTGACATTTTCATGAACACACTCCAATTTTGTGACCAGCTCTTTAGCAAAGTTTAAGTTTCCAATTTTTCAGACTTTTTTTGTTTTTTGTTTTACCTGCTTTTAACATTTACGGCAGGTTTCCTGATGTTCAGGAGGAGATGACCGCTGTCATTTCCTTGAAAGATCCTGATCCTACAAAGACTTAAATGCATACTAATCTGAACACGTATGGCCAATCTATTGACTTCACTGGGAATACCTACCTGTGTAAAACTAAGTCTACAGAAAATTGGGACCTAACGGACAAGCTACTGAGCAGAAATACCTTGTCTAACTGATTAACTACCTTGTCTAACTGATTAACTACCCCTCTTTCTGTGCTTATATTTCAGATGGCGGAGAGGGTCTACACTCTAGATTGTGTTCTGAATTCTTAGTTAGCGAAAGCTCCTTCACACCACACTAGCAGTGTGAAGTAAATACAAAGGCCTGTTACACTGCCAGAGAGGTGTGTAGCTGAGAGTCAGATCTTTTACAGTTAGGTCCACAGCAGAGCTGGCATCCTCAGGTTGTTGGAGCCTCACAGAACCTCAGTACTATCATAGCTCATGTCAGTCAAAGAGGAGAGGGAGAATGCCAACAAAAGGAAAGTAGGGACAGACTGAAATGGTGATGGCGATTATGTTTGATATACCTATTTCATTCCGAGGGGGCAGGTCCTCATCCTCATGGCTGGGATACCTCTCTTTCCGATCAAGAAGAAGAAAATAAATCATTTTTTCTTGGTTTTCTCTGAAAAAAAATGAAGGAAGAAACCTTCTAATTGGCTGCAGCTGACAGAAAAAATAGTGCAGATGACTCTTCCCCATCAAACACAAAGAGTTACAAATGCTCCAAATAACCCAAATCTAATTATCTCTTTTCTTATCTGGCCCTGGCACCACAGTATCTGAGTGCCTTGACAACATCAATAGATTTGATCCCCCCAAGGATCCTTTTAGGAAAGGAGGTGTACCACCATTTTACAGATAAGGAACTGAAGCTCAGTTTGAATACAAATGAGTGGCCCATGGTCATGAAGGAAGCTTGTGTTTGAGTCAGGAACTGAAGCTACAACACTTGACTCCTACTCTGGTGCCCATTAGACCAGCGGTTCCCAAACTTTTCGGCATCACTCCCCCTTTTTGATTTTTGAGAAACCCTCCCCCCACCCCCAAAATAGCAGCAAAACTTGTTGAGGAAAAAAAAATGGTTGCCCTTTTAAGAGCAGAGCAGACATTGCCCATATAAGGTGGCTATTTTGAAGTCTGCCTAGGATTCTCCATCCTCCCAGCCAACCCGAGCTGCGCATGTTCTGGCGGACACCTAAGCCAGGAAAAACAGAAAATACTGGACATTTCACATGATATTTTCTGAATTTTTTTACCAGATGAACCAGGCTCTTTCTTTGGGGGGAAGGGATTGACCGGGGGCAGGGGAGGGGGAAGGGAAGGGGACTGGGTTGCTTCGTGTCCCCCCTGGAATTTCTTAATGTCCCCCACTTTGGGAACCTATGCATTAGACAATCCCTCACAACGCTTAGGAAAGCCGTCATAAGTATTTTATTTACCAACAGATGTGGGCACAGCACAGGGTATTTCCAACTTGGTGCGTATAAACGCTCACCTGCAGATATCAACTCTGGAGATTGAGAGAGGCAATTCTACCCTCAGTGGGCTGCTCAGACCCTGATCTCTGTAACCAGGATGCCAGTTGCAGTGGTAATTTATATGATGGGGGCACCAATGCTTTCAGAAATGCGCTGAGATCTCCCTCACTCTCCCAACTCATTAACATTGAACAGCCAGGAAAGGGGAAATGACACGCTCAATCCGGGCCATGTTTGCATCCGAACTCTAGAAGTGAAAGGCTCCACATCCCATTGCTGAGCCTCTGAGCACTATAACCCTCTGACATGAAACCGATTTTACGAATGAGGGAATGCATACTCTTCCGACAACAGATCCTGTAAGAGTTTATTTCGGTCGCGGAAGCAGCCTAACGAGTGCATGCTGTCTAACACGTCTGGATCAATGTCCTCCAGGGAAGGGAGAGAACGAATCTGCACCTTTCGAGGAATGGGTTGCTCTGGTTCTGGTTCATTCTTACCACCTCTGCAATCAAGAAAGAGAGAGAGAGAGAAAGAGAAAGAGGTGAACAAGTGAAACACTTGCTCTGAAAACAACAAAGGGAAAAAGTGTCAAAATTCCACTGAGAAGTCTGACCTCACAAGGCAGACAGAAATTCCCTTCAGAACAATTTCACTAGGAGTTGAGAGTGATCAGCACCTTTCAGGATGGGGCCCTTAATGAGAAACTTCCCTGTCGAGGCAGAAAGGCAGCATGACTCCTCATTGTAACATGTGCCAAATAAACTAGCAGCTGTTCAGTGCCCTGAGACTCTACAGTGATGAATCACTCCACTCAGAGGTGCTGCATGAGGGGCAGATCAGCCCTTGGGCTTAGCAAAGTTGGACAATTTTCTCCCAATTTTCTCCCAAGTTGACATCATTCACCTCTAGTTACAACAGAGACAAGCTTCAGAGGAGTATCCATATAGGGGTTCAAACTTCCTAATGTGATTTAGGGTACCTCAATTTTCTGGTGCCCATCCTGAGAAATCTTAATAGGCCTGATTTTTAGAGGAAGGTGGTAGGCACATTCTAAAAACCCACATATGTTCTTAGGGTCTGTTTACAGTACACTGCCATAAGACATCCTCAGCTGCCCCATGTCAGCTGACTTGGACTTGCAAGGCTTGGCTTGTAGGGCTATAAAGTTGCACTGTACATGTTTGGGCTCCCTTTCATGGGATCCCAGTCTCCAGCCTGAGCCTGCATGTCTAACTGTGTATCTATTTGGGCAGTGCTTTACGGTCTATACTAACCACTCACCCCTGCTGTGGCCACGTCCACTGAAAACCACGAGATGGAGTCTAACCGTCCATAATTATAGCCCACAGCCTGAGCCCTCTGAGACCGAGTCCGCTGACATGGGCCAGCCGCTAATGTTTTACTGCAATGTAGACGTAACTCCGGCTACCTGTATTTAGACACCTATATTTGAAAATTCAAGCCCTAAAATGACCTGCCCAAGGTCAGACAACAGGTCAGTGGCAGAGCTAGGAATACAAAAGCAATCGGTAGCAGAAGTACAATGGTTTGTAGAAGGTGACAAAAACAAGCTGACTGTACAACTATCTCCTTTCATTCACAGGAAGCAGGAAATATTGATTATTCACTGCAAAATAAAGAAATAAATAAAGCTCTGGATGTATATATAACATGCCAAGGTTTCATTCCAGATACAGTAAACTGAACAATATGACTTGAAAACACATTGAATAGCCTTTGAGTAAATTCACAGTGCATCAGCTCAGACAGATAGACTCAGGGCTGTGCGGTTCTTCCATGAGAAGGGCAAGGAAAAATCCTGTGCCTTCTCATGAGGCTCTATGGATGCCACGATAGTCGCAGGACTGCAGTAGCCTTTTGACATGGTGGTCTCCCTTCCTTTGCAGTAGGGTAAGGGTACCTGGGCAGTGCATTCACCTGTGGTACAGACCCCCGACTATGGGCTACAAGAACCTGCAGCAAATCTTCCTCTGTGCCCTTTGGGAGCATGCAGAGTTGGGGGACAGAATTTCCCCTTTGATGCTGGAGAAAATCATCCAAACACGTTCCACAAATAGTCACACAATTTAAACCATTCTGGGCTCATGCTAGTCCATGCATTCACACAGCAGAAGGATGGGGTATGGGTGTATGCTTAGTCCCTCAATGGGCTGCATTGCCAGTCACAATGCACAGGAGATAGCAGGCACCGCAGGGCCACACACGCAAGTGGAGACATGCTTTGCCCCACAAGGAACAGCCAGTGTAGTAGAGCAAAGTGCTGAGTGAGGAGCAAGCTGTGCTAGGAAAAGGCTCAGTACAGCTTATTCCTCCTCTATTTCCCGCCGCCCCTCCCAGTTTCCCAGGGAGCAAGGTCAAAGCAGAAACTGAACAGAGAGTCTCAAAGCCACAGTGAAGACTCTGTGTTGTGCTGGGGCAGGGCAAATGGTGGGGTGCCAATCCAGCCCATTATAAATGACTTTTGAGGCTGCTAAAATTCACTTCAAAGATGTATCCTCTGCAATGGTTCACAGATTGGGTGCATTACCATAGATCACTGAATGCACCTGCTGCCTAGAGACTGTTATTCTCTCCCATCTCGGTGTAGCCATTTTTAGCTCTGGAAAAAGAGTACTCAACAGATGCATCACAGCAGCCACAAGTAAAGCCAGCTTACACAAAACACACGCAGGGCCTAATCCTAAACATATGGCCAGGCTGTGAATCCTTTATTCACTGAGGGTATGTCTACACTATCCCCCTAGTTCGAACTAGGGGGGGTAATGTAGTCATACGGAGTTGCAAATGAAGCCCGGGATTTGAATTTCCCGGGCTTCATTTGCATAAAGCCGGCCGGCGCCATTTTTAAATGCCGGCTAGTTCGGACCCCGTGCCGCGCGGCTACACGCGGCACAGACTAGCTAGTTCGGATTAGGCTTCCTAATCCGAACTAGCTAGTCCGTGCCGCGTGTAGCCGCACGGCACGGAGTCCGAACTAGCCGGCATTTAAAAATGGTGCCGGCCGGCTTTATGCAAATGAAGCCCGGGAAATTCAAATCCCGGGCTTCATTTGCAACTCCGTATGACTACATTACCCCCCCTAGTTCGAACTAGGGGGGTAGTGTAGACATACCCTCAGTGAGCTGTTACTCATACAAATAATTCCATTGAAATCATGGGGTACTCTGAGTGAATTAAGTCAAACAGATGTGAGAGTCAGATAATGCTATTAATTACACTGATATGAATCCAGAATTATGCTAATTCAGGACTTACCGAGAGATTGACACTACAGAGATCTATCTCTTGGGGATTGATTTAGAGGGTCTAGTAAAGACCCACTCAATTGAATCCTGATCACGCACCCATTGACTTGTACTCCACCAGGTTGTGAGGAATAGAGGAATTGACAGGTAAGTTGAACTAAGGTCAATAAGGTACATTGACTCCAACTATATTATTCATGTAGCTGGAGTTGTGTACTTTAGTTTAACTTTGTCCCCTAGTGTAGACCTGGCTTCAGCATGCATCAGATTCTATCTCATTTACTCTGAGTAGTCCCTTTTATTTCAGTGGGTCTAGCTATGGAAGAAGGGAATACTTAACATCAGTAAAGGAAACAGAAACTTGCCTTCCGGATTTTCACAGGTATAAACAGGATCAGACTTTATGGGCACTACTCATCCAGGGTCAGATTCTGACTCCATTCCTCATGCTGAAGAGAGTCTTATTACACCAGTAGTCCTATGTAAGGAAATGGGAGCATCTGGAGGGAGGTTCTCCTCAGCATGAATAAGGGCACTAGAATTCTGATCTTAAGGGTCAGATTCTGATACACCTGCTCATGTTGAGTAATGTTCCACTTCTGGAGCAGTCCCAATCCTTTCCAAAGGACTACTCCTGCAGTAAATCGTTGCGCAAGGAGAGGCAGGGTTATCAGAAATCTAGCCCTAGGGCTGTGGTGAGCAAGCTGATGTCTCTGAACCCTCAATCATTAAAGTCAATGAAAGCTTTCTCATTGACTTCAGTGAGACCTATAGGATTAAGTCCTACGCCCAGCAGTAGAAGCCCACAGTATTTAGTTCTTAGGCAACTGTGGCTTTTGTTTCATCTGCCTGAAGTTCCCAACTGACAGGTGCTGGCTCAGTTAAACATTAAACATAAACATATGTTACAAGCAGATTTCCTCAGTGTAATTAACAGGGATGATAGAGAAATTAATATTTTTCAAAATCACCTGAGAATTTGCAGTCGCAACTAGGATCTCTAATTTGATGCAGCTCCCTACATGAAGCTTCATTTACATTAGTCAATGTCAGGCAATAAGCCACATCCACAGAGCGTTGGTGGCTACCCTTTGTGCACTGTGGAATGCCCTCTCCTTGTAAGCTGAACCTATCACGATCACACAAAATCAGAGTGTATATGTATGGACAAACTTTCAGACATCTTCATCAAGTACGTGGAAAATCAGTGGCAAAACTGCACATCACCTGCAAGGCAGTCACAGCATCAGAAGTAGAAAATCACCAGCTCTGTGCTATGATTGACATTATTGGATTGTCTGTTCTGATCCTCATCTGGAGTAAGGATGTTAAGGACTAGCTGTCTAAATCAGAGTGTATATGTATGGACAAACTTTCAGACATCTTCATCAAGTACGTGGAAAATCAGTGGCAAAACTGCACATCACCTGCAAGGCAGTCACAGCATCAGAAGTAGAAAATCACCAGCTCTGTGCTATGATTGACATTATTGGATTGTCTGTTCTGATCCTCATCTGGAGTAAGGATGTTAAGGACTAGCTGTCTAGTTGCTCTCCTGAAGAAAATGTTGACTAGTTGCAAATGTCGACTAAGCAAATGCTGACTAGTTGCTTCCCCCTCCTTGCTGCCGCTTCAAAGCAGCAGCGCTGTACAGAGCCCAGGGTATGGGCTTCATGCAGTGCTGCTGCTTTGAAAAGTCGTGGCGGTGTTTTAAAGGGGCAGCCCCACACAGCTGATCCTGGGCTCCATGCGGTGCTACGCATTTGAAATCCAACTGTGGACTTCCTAGCTGACCCAGGGCTCCGTGCGGCATCTCCACAGAACCCAAAGTCAGCTGGGGAGTCCCCTGCTGACCCCGGGCTGTGCGTGGCATTTCAAAGCGTGCAGAGAATCAGCTGAGGAAATTCCATCGACTGCTTGACTAGTAAATTAATCAATATTTAACATCCTGAGTCTGAAGCAAATGACATATTCATTGCACTCCAGCCCATGTGCATGCCAAACCATGTCATATATATATTGCACATACATTTTTTTTAAAGACTGGCTGAATGTAATACTGCTTTACAAATACTTCCTCCCTTGTGAGGGATGGTATGTGTAAAAGACATGATTCCAATTCATGGTGGGCTTTTTAAACCTCCCCACAAAATTTTAACCTGTATCTCCTAGATATGTACAATAAGCCTAATTCAGATCTCACTCATTTGCAAACTCAGTGGAATTATGCAGGTGCTAATCAAATCAGAATCAGTATCATTATTCCCCTTCCCCCTTTTTTAGTTGCTGAGCATGCTGCACTTTTGGTGCCATGATAGCTCATCTCATTCATCCACTTGGTTTACTGGCAAAGGTGAAAAGAATTAACGATCATCTGCTGATTTTTGGCAAGCTATGTTCTGGGTCAAAAACTCTCTTTCACAAAATCTAGCTGCATTTTGGAAAACTTATCTCAGATAAAAAAAATTCTCGAAAACATACACTCGAGTCAGTGGACTATCACATTACCATGGGGGTGAGTTGGACCAATACATGACAGTTTGGTGACTGGGCACTTTCTTTTGAAGGAGCTTGTGTTCAGGAACTTTCAGGGCCTGTAAGGGTGCGTCTACATAGCACTTTTACCTAAAAATAAGCTACGCAATCTACACTACGCACATTTTGAGGTTATTTCGAAATAGCTTATTTTGAAATTTGGTGCTATCTACACAGCACCAAATTGCAAAATAAAGTGTTATTCCGACAAGTCCCATAACGCTCGTGGAACAAGTCGGTATAGCAAGCCCATTATTTCAAAATATATTTCAAAATAACGGGCGTGTTTAAAGAGGCAGAATTGCTATTTTGGGAGACTTCCAGTATCCCGAAATAGTGCTGCTGTCTAGATGTAGCCTAAGCGTGTGTGTTCATGTGCATGTGCATGATTACTCTGAACTACAGCTAAATGTTTTGCATTGATTTAACATGACTATGAGTATCCATTTCAAGAATTAAGTGAAACCACTGATCGAATGCTGAGTACAAGTTTAAAGTCACTCATCTGCCATCTTAAACTATCCGTGGCCATGAATAAAGGTTTTATATTGGAGTGTAATGTGCATTAAATCTAATAAATAGAAGCCTTAAGTGCTTGTGGTCTACACATAATTCCGTCTATAGCCACTCTCTTCTTGTTAGCATTGATAGACCATGCAAAGTGAGTGCAAAAAGGACACGAAACACTGCCCAGTCAGAGTGGTAAGCGGTTTATGCTCTATTTTCTCAGGTGAAAATGACTCCGTTAGGTGCAAGTTAATGGAGGACTGGGCACTCATTGCTAACTTTTATGGGTGTAAAATAAAGTCTTGACACTCCGACCCTTGTTTAAAGGGAAGCAGTGTAATCTTTCTGGGTCCACAGATGACCTGAACAATTTACATCTCACTGGGGCATTAACACTTATGCTTTAGTACAAAAATATAAAATGATCATAAAAATTTAATTTGAACTTCTAACCATTTCATTTCAGATCATGCAAGAAAGAAGGAAAAGGAACGTCATTCAGCTAATGGCGTTCCATACCGAGCATGCAAGAAACAAGTGGGATGATCCTATTATGAACATCTGCACAATCTATCATGAGCAGCATTTTAGTTTGGAATCTCAGAGGGTGGGATTTGGTTTGGGGGCACAGCGTGGGAGAATCCCGCTACATTCTGTTTTTTTCAATTTGGCCCATGATCATCAGTGAGGGTTTGAAACAAACAAAAAACCTTCTGTTAAAAAACCCCAAATCTTCCCTGATGTTAAAAAGTATCATGTCGACTGACGACTCCACAGAGCTTGAAAAATCTGTGGGCACAGTATTATATCATTTCGGGCAAGCTAGCAACAAAGCATGTGATCCTGCAAACTGCTGAACATCTTCAACTCCCATGCAGATCAACTGAGCCCAGTGCACACATTACACTCGTATAATAAAATCATAGGAAAAATCACTAAGGCTACGTCTACACTGCAGGGTTTTTGCACAAGAAGTCTTTTGCAGAAGAGTTCTTGCACAAAAACTTCTTCTGCAAAAGCATGTCCACGCCTCAAAGTGCATTGCTTTTGTGATGTGCTTTTGCTCAAGAGAGCATCCACACTGCATGGACGCTCTTGCACAAGAAATCTCTGATGGCCATTCACTGAATGGCCATCAGAGCTCCTGTGCTTTATTGGATAGGCTCTATTTGTGCAAGAAACCACTGTGGAGTGTCCACACATGCCTTGTTGTGCAACAGCTTTAGCGCAAGAGGGAGTTAAGCCTTGTAAAAGGAGGTTTACTTACACCAGAAAAAGCCCTCTGTTCTGCCATTTTACTGAGAATTTACTTGCGCAAAAGCGCGTTTGCGGTGTGGGCACTCCGCAGGTTTTTGCGGAAAACTGACCAGTTTTGCCCAAAAGCCTTGCAGTGTCGATGTAGCCTAAGAGGCTGTTTGTCTCCCAGTGAAAGGCTTAAAAAATAACATGACTCACAGGAATAACTAGCAGCATCCTCCAAAATATCTCGTACACTGTGGTGGTAAGGCTATTGAGACCTGGCTTTCTATAGCATAGAACCAGGTAACATACAGATGTACTAACCCTCCAGAAATGTGTAACAAAGAACCACCCCCTCCATTTATCACTTACAAAGGATTATTTTTAGTCTCACGGGGATATCATCAGTATGAAGCAAAAGTCTTATTTATCAATGTTTCATGAAGGACTATTAGAGACAAAAATGCAAGACCACTTTAAGAAGCCAGTAGGCTTCCATGTGCTCAAATAATCAGAAGCAAATGCTCTTTTCTATAGATTTCTTTCTTGTGACACGGCATGAGGCTGCTGCTGTCAGTCAAGCCATGGAGTTATCACTCATCAGCAGGTTATGAGGTCATGAGCTGGCATCTTAATTGATGGTGAAGAAGGGGAAGAAGGCCTATGAAATGATTGTTTACAAAAGCACCTTTTTTAGTAATGTCTCCTATAATTTCTCCTTATTTGGAGAAATGCCACACATGCCAGAGAGAAACCCTGGAAAGTCTGTCTGTCAAGAGGGTTTTACTAAGGATTTTGCTAGGGATTCTCTGCAGTTATTTGGGAATTCAAGAAAGTGTGTCTTCTAGTCTTTTGGGGTATGTCTAAACTACATCTCTTTTTCGATAAAGGGATGTAAATGAGACATATTGAAATTGTAAATGAAACTGGGATTTGAATTTCCTACACTTTATCTACATAATGGCAGCTGCGGCTTTTTTTTGAAAAGCCGCTTTTTGGAAAAAAAAAAAAAAAAAAACAATGCTGTCAAAGCAGGGATCTTTTGACAGAAATGCCCTGTTTTGAAATGCCCTCATTTTTTGAGGGTTACATTATCTTTCAAAATGGGGCATTTCTTTCGAAAGATCTCCATCCAGACCACGTTTTTTTTTTGAAAAGCGGCTTTTCGAAAAAAAGCCGTGTTCGCCATTATGTAAATTAAGTGCAGGAAATTCAAATCCCGGCTTCATTTACAATTTTTATATGTTTAATTTACATCCCTTTATCGAAAAAGGGATATAGTTTAGACATACCCTTGCTGTTCACCCAGGAATTACCCTGGGTGAACAGCAAGAGACTAGAAGACACACTCAGACACAATACTTTCAGAAAAAAACAAGCAATTTGTTAGTGTGGGAAGTGGCACATAGTTAACCAGGGCCTATTACCATACATTCTTCTCTATGGCCTGGTCTATAGTAAACCAGGAAGGTCGGTTTAAGGTACACAACTCCAAACGCATAGCTGGAGTTGGCTTAACTTAAGACAAGCCTTGGACTTACCTTAAGACCAGCTGGAGTCAGCTTACCTTAAGACAAGCCTTGGAAGGTCAATGGGGGCAAACACTCCTGTTGACTTTCCTTACTCCTCACAAAGGGAAGGGTACCAGACATTGGAGGGGCTGCCCTTAGTGTTCGATTTATGGGTCCATACTAAGCCCATTAAATTGAATGCTAGAAGATTGACCTCCGGAGCGTTGATCTTGCACTAAGTATAGATGTGCCCTGTGAGGGTGGGTATACATTGCACCGCTATTTCAAGATAACTTGTGTTATTTCAAAATAACAATATGTCTACACAGCCATTCCGTTATTTCAAAATAATTTCGAAATAACGGACGGCTTATTCCGAAATCTGTAAACCTCATTCTACGAGGAATAATGCCTATTCTGAAATAGCTCTTTTGAAATAAGTTTGTGTAGATGCTCCACTGCTGCTATTTTGAAATAGCCCCTCACCAGGGCCATTCTAAGTTATTCCTCCCCAGTGCATCCTGGGGCTCTAAATCGAGATAGCATGTCTACATTAGGGAAGCCTGCCTCGGACTTATTTTGCAGCTTCTTTGCAGTAGAGGTGTGCTATTTTGAAATAAGCTATTTCAGAATAACTATTCTAGAATAGCTTATTTCGAAATAGCCATGCAGTGTAGACGTACCCTGAGGATCCCTGGCCTGAATCTATGCAGAGGAGACTGTATTCACTCCATGGGCTAAAATCTCATCTTCATTGGACGTTCTTCCATTCACCTACTGGCCTATGCCTGCATGGAAGCTGTTTTCAAGTCTTCCAAGTCTATCCCTTTCACAGATTTCTGGATGACCAGATCCCTGTAAAAGGAACAATATTGAGGACAGTAAATAAGATTTTTTAAAATGTTACTTACATATACCATATGTGTTTCTGAATGTGTTCTAGCTACAAAGAAAGAGAAAACAAGGAGTTAGTACAGGGGAAAAAAAGAAGCAAAACCAAGAAAACTGCATAAAACAACCAAACATGAGGGTTGTCCGTAGCTAGGCTTAGGTCACCCTCCTTAGAGTCTGGAAGTAGGAATCTCAGTTGTGATGCCCTGGTGCAATGATCTGACTGCACCCAAATGATGAGTTTTACACAACACACAAAGCATCTGCTGTCTCTCCTGCCCCCTTCCAAATGGGCCTATTGCGCCGGACACCAAGAACAAAGGAGCAGGAATCACCAGGCATCGGTATAAAGGGTTTTTGTTTGTGTTGTTTTTAAATGGATACAGACAGTGTGATAGTCACAGGGGGGCCATAATGGATCTCCTGAAATGTAGGAAGGCACACATGCCATAATGACTGATCTACAGGGGAGGTGTAAAACATAGCTTCCATTAGGGTTCACAGGCAAGTGCTCTGAAAAGGAAGATTATAAATATTCCAGATGAAGTCAGCCCAAAACCTGCTTTCAACACATGCCTGCCTACAGGATGGCAGTGCTGCTATTCCAGAACCCAGGGTATTTTCTTATAGGATTTGTTTTCCTTTGTGATAGGAGATATGATCACAAATGTTAAGTCAGGTGAAGGCAGTGTGAGATTTGTGCTGCTTGATTTCCACCAGCGATTGATTTCCAGGTAGGCTACAAGTTCATCAAAACAGCTTTATCAAGATTCAGTGGAGTGAATGTATGGTACTAGAATTTATGGCCCCAGCACAAATCTTCCAGACTTCCATTTCCTCTGCTGGCCTGGCATCCTACCACCCCCTTTCCACTCTGCTTAGGGACCCATCACTACATGCTACACAAAAGGGAATGGCTGCTATGACTGACGGTGGACAGACAATGATAAATACAGTCAAGGACTGGCCAATTACTGAAGTTTGACAGTAGACATGCCTGCCTACAGAAGTTTCAGAGGGGTAGCCGTGTTAGTTTGTAACTGGAAAAACGTAAACAACCAATAGTCTTGTAGCTCCTTAGAGACTTACAAAATGTGTCGATGGTACCATGAGCTTTCGTGGGCACATCCCACTTCTTCAGATGAATGGAGTTTAAAGGGTCCAGTTTTCAAATAAATAGCACGGAGAGCCCTCTGTGCTCTTTAAAAACTGGACCCCTTACACTGCCTACAGAAGGCAAGCCCCAGAAGCTGTTTTGTGGCGGTAACATTTTCTCATAGCTCTCTTCAAGAAAGAAGCTCCTGACAAATTCTTTTCTACAGTCAACAGAGAGAACAAGCCCTGCTCAAATACACCTGGGCTATGTCTACACTGGCATGATTTTCCAGAAATGCTTTTAACGGAAAAAATTTCCGTTAAAAGCATTTTCAGAAAAGAGCATCTAGATTGGCACGGACGCTTTACCGCAAAAGCACTTTTTGCGGAAAAGCGTCCGTTCCAATCTAGACGTGCTTTTGCGCAAAAAAGCCCCGATCGCCATTTTAGCCATCGGGGCTTTTTTGCGCAAAACAATACAGTGCTGTCTACACTGGCCCTCTTGCGCAAATGATTTGTGCAGGAGGGCTTTTGCCCAAACAGAAGCAGCATAGTATTTCTGCAAGAACATTGATGATCTTACATGAGATTGTCAGTGCTCTTGCGGAAATTCAAGCGGCCTGTGTAGACAGCTGGCAAGTTTTTCCGCAAAAGCAGATGATTTTGCGGAAAAACTTGCCAGTCTAGACACAGCCCTGTAGAGAGAATATAAACTTGTGTGTCTGCAACAGCATCCTAGCAGGAACAACCTATTTGTAGATGCCAAGTGATTGTACCACATGAGGAACCTTTGTGTGTGTGCGTGTGCGTGTGTGCACGCAGGCTCACGTGCTTGCAGTGTAAACTCATGGGCTTCAGCAGTGTGTCAGTGAGAGGCAGAGGAGAGCTGGAAGGAAGCTCCCGTAATGTCTGTAAGATGAAATCAGAGGGCCATTAAACTGGTCAGAAAGAACGGAGACAGCTGTCCTGCCCTTATTACTTTCCACTTCATTTCCAGGCTAATGAGAACTGGCAAGCCAAAGAGAGAGACAGAGAGAGAGAGAGAGTTAGAGAGAGAGAGAGAGAGAGAGAGAGAGAGATGCTTGCAGACAGAAAGAAGGAGACTGACAGAGAAGGAGGAAACAGATTTTTGTATATTGCATAACAGTGGCTCTTCATCCTGGAAAGCCCAGCAGAGCACAGGCTGACTCTGAGAGGATCTGTTAAGTGTGACAGGGGTTTTCCTAGAATCCAAGGACCAGGAAGAAATGCAGCAGATGGGAGGGTAGCTAAGAGAGACAAAGGGCTTTCTTTAGAACAGAGGAATAAAGGGTTAAGCCTACTGCTTCTAACCGTATTAGCACCATCACACAAAAGGTTCCATCTGGCTTCCTCACCCTCCCTTTGGCCACCATAGAGCAGAAGCAGAAGCCATACTGGAGTGAAAATAAGAAGAGTAGGTGTGTCTGCCCCACTTACCATCTGGAGTTGTTCACTCACTGGAGCTCAGGTGTTTGGGCTCAAACAGGGAGAAGAGTCATGTTTGGTTTGCCCGTTTTGTTGGGGTAGGTGAAGTGGGCTTAAGAGGCGTGGCCTTCCAACTTTTCCAATCTATGGCCCCTTCACCAAAACTCCTTTCCCATTCAGCCTTTAGTAAGGGCAGGGTGATGACCCGCCCGATTCCTATTTGCGAGCTGCCTTCCTGAATTAATTCACTCATGCACCCCACCATGTTCTAGGACATGGGTTCTCAGCCAGGGGAACCCATGCTCTAGACAGGGCTGGGCAAACTACAGTCCGTGAGAAGCATCTGTCCTATTGGACCTTTTCAGCTGGTTCCCAAGCTCCCGCTAGGGAGTGGGGTCAGAGGCTTGTTCCGCTCCGCCTGCCACTCCAGCAGGGAGCAGGGTCGGGGGCTTGCCTCACTCTGACCATGCATCCCAGAGGGATCACCAGTGCGGAAAGCTGGGAATGGTCTGGGGACATGTTTCCAGGCTCCCCAGTTGGCTGGGGCACCTAGGTACACCCGTTTGGCCCAATGGCTAATCCACCACTGGGAGGAGGCTGGGCCAACAAACATGTATGGCCCACCATACAATTTGCCTACTCAGATGTGTTCCTCAGGCCTAAAGGTTTGCCCACTCCTGCTCTAGAAGATAGCAGCCTGTATTAATTAATTAGTATTATTAGCATTACAGTAGTGCCTAGATGTCCTAGATCTGAGCCAGGGCCCCTCTAGGCTAGAGCTGTACACACAGACAGAAAAGCCAGTCTGGCTTGCACTCGTCTGTTTCTTGTTTCCCTCCTAGAGCTCAGCAGCAGGGATTTCAGGTGGCCAATCACTACGCATACTTACATAAAGCCCTGTTAAAGGGCTATTATAAAGGTCCCCTTTACATTGTTGCAACAGCTTTCCCAGCATAGAATCATAGAATAATAGGACTGGAAGGGACCTCAAGAGGTCATCGAGTCCAGCCCCCCGCCCTCAAGGCAGGACCAAGCTCTGTCTACACCATCCCTGACAGATGTCTATCTAACCTGTTCTTAAATATCTCCAGAGAGGGAGATTCCACCACCTCCCTTGGCAATTTATTCCAATATTTGACCACCCTGACAGTTAGGAATTTTTTCCTAATGTCCAATCTAAACCTCCCCTGCTGCACTTTAAGCCCATTACTCCTTGTCCTGTCCTCAGAAACCAAGAGGAACAAATTTTCTCCTTCCTCCTTGTGACACCCTTTTAGATATTTGAAAACCGCTATCATGTCCCCCCTTAATCTTCTTTTTTCCAAACTAAACAAACCCAATTCCTTCAGCCTTCCCTCATAGGTCATGTTCTCTAAACCTTTAATCATTCTTGTCGCTCTTCTCTGTACCCTTTCCAATTTCTCCACATCTTTCTTGAAATGTGGCGCCCAGAACTGGACACAGTACTCCAGCTGAGGCCTAACTAGCGCAGAGTAGAGCGGCAGAATGACTTCACGAGTTTTGCTTACAACACACCTGTTGATACAACCTAGAATCATATTTGCTTTTTTTGCAACAGCATGTGAGGGAAGTGGTAGCTATTAATGATTTTGGCCAGAAGGAGATGATGTGGCCAAGATATGTTCAAGTCTCTTTCATGACTGTTTCTTTTACAGTCCTTCTTTCTGTTTCTCTGGGTCAGGTTGTCCTTGTGAGGCTGTGCTGGGCAGAAGGATCTGTATGGCTCAGGCAGTGTCAATTCAGTTTCCCAGACAAAGTGGGTCACAAGTTCATGTCCCAATAACAGGCCCTTCAGATAAAATGGTACCCAGAGGTTGGCCCTGCTGCTGGCCATTCCAATTCAAAAGATAACGATCCCTTTGCATTTGCCACAAAACCAGATCCAAGGCTGTGCAAGAGCTCTCTCCGGGTACGTCTACACTAAGCTAGTTCGAACTAACGCATCTAGAACTAAAAACTAGTTCGAACTAGCGTTTTGCTAGTTCGAACTAGTAAGTCCACATTGAGTGGACTCTGAACAGGGCTTAAGGATGGCCGGAAGCAGTGCCGGCAGGGCATCAGAGGAGGACTTAGAGCATGGAGATGCTGTCTCAGGCTAGCCGAGGGCTGCGCTTAAAGGGTCCCGACCCCCACCCCATCGGGGGCTCGTACCCCATTCCTCCCTCACCTCCTTCCACTTACCCTTCCTTAGCCCCCCTTCTTATTGATGTACAAAATAAAGATAACGTTTCTTCCAACATTGACTCTGCCTTCATTGAAAAAAAACTGGGGGAGACTGGGAAAAGGAGGTGGGAGAGGGGAAGAGAAAGGCTGGGAGAGAGGAGGGCAACTAACATGATCAGGGGTTGGGAACAGGTCCCAGATGAAGAAAGGCTACAGAGACTGGGACTGTTCAGCTTAGAAAAGAGGAGACGGAGGGGGGAGAGGATAGAGGTCTCTAAAAGCAGGGGTTGGGTGGAGAGGGTGCATTCAGAAAAGTTCTTCATGAGT